AATGTGGGCGTCAGAAGTCTCCAGGTCCTTTAAGACGGGTCTCTGAGGAGGTCGACAGAAGGGGTGACAGATGGGAAATTGGGACTAGGTAAGCTTTTCTGTGCCTCTCTCCTTCCCTCGGTGCACGACGGGGTCTTGCTGCTTTCTCACCACCCAGAACTGCTCAGCGGGAGGCCTCTGCAGAGGCCCTCAGTAGCCCAGGGCCGGTCTCCTACACTTTGTCTGGCTTATACATTCCCTTCCCAGGGGCTCTGCTGCATGTTCAAAGTTTAAACAGAAGAATTAATTCACAGTGAGATAGATGTTCATGGCCAGCTAGATTGAATGTATTTCCCCTCTAAGATCTGTATAGAACCGTCATGATCTTTGGTGATCAACCAAAGGTGTCATCATCAGTAGTAGAAATCTCAGGTCCCGTGTGGCCTCAGGCTGTGATATTTGGTTCTGAAATCACATCTCAAGTTTTACCACTGTACCTATCTCACCTGTGAATTTAAAAAGTCCTGGAGAGGAGTAATGGGAGGGGCTTGATAAACTAACACATGCAGGATTTTTGTTTTTTTTTTACTCCAAGGTCTAAAGCTTTGATTATTATAATGAATTGTTGAAACAAAAGATACCATAAAGTGACCTGGGTGTGGAGCCTCATGTTTACCTTTTCTGAGTTGGCTGCTGCCACTGGCAGAAACCCCTCAGTGTGCGGATAGACTGCGGCACGACTCGTAAAGTGCACGTGCTTAGTAGACAGCGTCAAGTAGGAAAACGTGAAGCAGCAGAGATCACCAGCATTGAGCAGAAATAGGAGGGTTGAGACTTGCTGAAGCACCTGACTCATCAGACTGCACCCACCGCTGTGGATCCCAGAGTCCCTTGACCGGTCACTTCTCCTCTTTGACACAGGCAGGGCCTTTCTCTCCACTCCACGCACAGCCTGCAAAATGGGGTTCCGGGAATGCACACCGGAGCCTGCGGGGCTGCCCGCTTGGATGCGTGCTGCGGCCGCTGGCCATGGAAGCGCACCTCTGGGTGTTGTAGACGTTTAGCCACCCACCTTACTCTGATGTTGCCAACAGAGGCTGCGGGAGGGAGTGGAGGCCTGTCCCTGAGTCAGGTTGCCGCGCCATCTGGTGTTGCAGCTGACCTGGAAACGAATCCCGTGCCTCTCAGACCTGAGTCGCAGCTGGCATGGGGAAATCTAAGAGACAGGTGGTTCCCTTAACAGCTGCACAGTCAGGTAGGGCTGGCGAGAGAGAGAATTCCATCCTTGTTGAGCCTGCATGGGTTTTCTGGGATCTATAGCAGCTCCCTGACCTTTTTTGCCATAAAAATTACCATTGCAGGGCAAATAACGATATTTGTTTTCTCTTCCTTTGTTGAAATATTCTCTGCAGGTCAGAGAATATAAGACTTTAAGTGAACATATTTAGTGATAGATGGATTTAAAAAAAAGGAAAAAAGACCATGGCTCTTAGCTGGGAGAGGACTTCACAGCAACAGCAATCTTTCAGACACATTCCAATTTCTGAAAATGTACAAACTCAAGTCCCATTAGGGCTTTACACTAATTACTATATCTAAAGTGACTGTTTAAATTTGGAGGTCTGTATTTACCCTGCACATTTGAAGATAACTTAACCAGACGCTGTATTTGTTAAGCAAAGCATTGTGCATGCTGAATGAAGCAGAAGACTTTCTCAGCCCAATAAAAGTAAAGAATAATTTTGGCTCTTTTTAATTTGTTCTGAATGGAACACTTTGACTATATACATCCATGTGGTTTTGGGGAGGATTTTAGACAGACTTGGTTTTTAGTAAGCGAAGGTACAGGAAAAGTAAGGTGTTTTCCCCGTAAGTCATTCAACAACTGAAAGTATGAAACCAAAAGAAGACTCTTAGGATAATATTCCCAGTTGTCTTGTCTGTCCCAGGCCCCTCACACTCACGTGAGTTGGTCACATCATGGGAGTGCCCAGCCGAGGCCCGAGTAGGGGCAGAAATCCAGCCTGGGCTCTGCTCACCAAGCCATGGGCTGTGGCAAGGAGCGATGCCCACCCAGAGATGGGGCGCTGATTTTGAATTGCACAAAGGCTCCAGCTCCCCTGCCAAGCGCAGCGGCCACGGAGCTGAGCTGTGTCGGGTCCGGCATACGAGCAGTCAATGAGGGGCATATCACCAGTGTCACCTACAAGGTCCTCCTAACCTGTCACTCTGAAGCTAGAGCTGCTGTTGCCATGATCTTAAAGAACCTTTGTTTAAATGGGTGCAATGGAATGGTGAAGAGCAATGCAGAGCTTGCAGAGGATCTGTAGTGATAAATCCCTCATGTCACCATACTGGCTGCACGGGCAGCGTGGACTCTGGCTGGAATGGGTTTGAGATTTAGGGTATCTCCTTTTCTGAAAAACAAAAGACGAAACAAAAACCACCCACCTTCTCTTCACTAAGAACTTTTGTTCAAGAGGAAAGCACTGTAAGCAGCCAGATTCACACTAAGTTGTAATGACTAGGAACAATTATAAGTCTACTCCTTCAAGGGTAGCGGTTTAATATTTAAATAGCAAATGGTGGACTCTCAGGCAGTGGGAAGTGGCAGGGATTTGACTCAGGCATCAGAGGCAGGGGAGTGTCGTTTATTCCTGAGATCACTGTGTGTGGGTCAAAGCTCTTAAAGTTGGCCCAGCACACACGGACACACGATTCTCTCAGTTTACATCCTCTTTGTTCCTGGTGGCTTTTATCTTGTTGTGTTTAGTTCTCCTTTTTCAATTTCCCTGTCATTCCACTGTTCTTTCAGGCCAACCTTTGCTTCTCATTCTTCACTCTGGCCTGGCCAACCTGGGCTTTGTTTTTCATCTCCCAGCTTACTCTTATTAATTCCTTCCTTTCAGTCAAGCAAACTGTTCCATCGCTACATCTTTTTTTATGCGTCTCACCCCCAAAAGTCTCCAGCTCCAAGGTGTCAGATTCTGCCTCTTTTTTAAAACTTTGATTATTAGATGAGGTTGAAGTTCAGAACCTCCCCGTTGTTCCTTATCCAGAAGCTAACCCCATGAGCCCGGGAGAGGAGAGTGTATTGAGAATCTGTCTGTTAGAAACGGTCAGAAGGCTTGTCTTGTTTTTATATCTATACCAAGCCTAGCGAAGCATGGTTGGTATTTTTCTTCTTCTAAAAATGATTACTGGAAGCTGGGACTTGACTTTAAATTTAAAATTATTCCTTGATACAAAGCAATTCCTATAGCCTTCAGGGGGCCTACCTTAGGCCAGTGGAGCTGAAATCACTAGTTAAGTTGATCTCTTCAGTAGCTTGGCCAAATGGACTCTAGTCATGGAAGCCAAGACAGTTGACATGAAAAGCGCACGTAAAAATGGCCAGTCTCTCCAGCTATGATTGTTCAAGAAAATTCGTAATTTTCAATTCCCTTCATCATTCAGGTGATACATTTGAAGGATTTCTGATGCTTAAATGCATGGAGTTCCTTAAATGCCAGGAAGCTGTGGTCAATACTCCGTCCAAAAAGTGAAGATTTCTATACGTATTTAATGTCATTAGACCCCCAAATAATCAAGTGGAAGGGGACAAGGTTCCAGATTTCTTTTCCATGCGGTCGGGAAGCATCTTAGATGTCTTTGGGAATGCTGTACGCATGGGATTGTACTTTATTCCCGCCCCCCCCCCTTGCTCCTTTGAATGCATTTTTATTTGGAGAAATCCGAAAGCTGATGTGTGACTGTAAACCTTTCAAGGTGTGCGGTGCCAGCTCCCTGCTCTGCGGACGTGTCATTTTGTTGTGCTCTTTGTCTCACTTGCATCATTCCCCTAAATAGAAGCGACGTGAGTGCCTAAGTGCTGGGCATTTTTCTCACGCTGCTTGACGTGCTTGTTGTATGAGCATCTCCCTGAGCTCTTGCAGCCCTGTCTGGCTGTGTTTGGGGACAGCTCAGGGGCAGTATATACAGTCCTGCTGAGGGCATCGCTCTGTGTCTTCCTCAGCCCGGCTTCCCAAAGGCTGCCCAGATCCAAAATAGTTATCTTCCTTGTTTTAATTTCTAAAGCGTCAGTCTACGCCCTTTTCCCAAGCCTAGTTGTGCTGAGAAACTATTATAGGTCTATGCCAATTAACAAATTGTTAACCAGTATTTTCGTCACCAAGTTGAAGTAGGTGTGAGCCATTGTTCAGGATGCATGCAGAAGGAATGGTCTAGGGTTTCAACACCCATTTCTTGGGAGGTGGAGGTTGGTTGGGAAAGGGGGGTGTATGCTGTCCTGCCCTGGAGGGGCCCGGATGCCCTCTGCTCTCAGAAATGCGAAATGACGTGGTTGCCAGTTTGTGCGCCACGGCCATATTGAATGCGTGGGCAGAGTCTCTTTGGGTATGTGCCAGACCTGTATTGTAACTTATTTTCTAAACTGGTAAAAAATATATATATATATATATATATATATATATATAGTCTCTCATTCTGGCAAACAAGTATTGAGTGTCATGTGCACAAAACTTTGCATTATGTACTATGGTGGAGATAAAAAATAACACACTGTCCCAGGAAGTTTATAATCCTGCGGTCTAACCTTTGAGTTTGGAAAGCATTTCAAAAATCTGATGTTCTAGAGAAGCTACCCTTTAAGAAGATCATAATTGCTGGAAGCTCACGCTGTTGTTACTGTGATTAAATACGTTATGTAGTTGCTACCCACAAATCCCATTAACATCTCGCCTACCCCACCGCCACCTCCCACCCTCCTTCCTGAATAGCTGTATTCCGCAGAGCTGATGCACGGAGGTGCGCATTGCCTCCAACGTGGGTAAAGCTAATAAGTATGATTTAGGGTGAAAAGGCACTGGGTAAATGCTTGAGATGTTATTGCTGTTCTCATTCGCTTTATTATTTTTAAATTGTGCATCCTTTTAAGTAGATTGTTTGTTCGCCGCAGTCTCCATTATATCTAAGCAAAGCATTCACAGAAATTTCTAAAACCTTTTCATTTCTCTCTGTAGGTTGTTGTTTCGTAACATTTTATACAAGAAAAGCTGCACTTGAGGCCCAGAATGCACTGCACAATATTAAAACTTTACCTGGGGTGAGTCGGTTTACTTTTGTACCAGAATCACTTTATTGCTTGAAAATGGTCCTTTTAACTGAAGGTTCTAGTTATGGGCTCTTAGTGCCAAAAATGACTTTGGTCTTTTGAGGAGTGTGTGTTTGACCCTCTGTTCCCTGCAGCAGCCAAGCCAGCTGGCCGGCCCCTAGAGGAGCTCTGGCTTTCACGCTGACGGGAAGAGCTCTCAAATAGCATGTCCCCTGGTTAGAAAATCAGAGTGACCCCACTGGGCAGCAGCGGCTGCCAAAGAGTATTGGGTGGGCTAAGATTTTTAAAAGGGGGAAGAAATAAAAACCCAACACACAAGAGAAGCAAATGGAAAAGGAAAAGCTTTTTACTCCCCGGGAGCCCCTTTTCAAATTTCTTCTTTAGATTTTCTTTTGAAAAGACAAAATGTACCCTGTATAGCCATAATATTAAGCCTCCAAATGGTTTCTAAACAGTCAGTGGTGGTTAACAAAGTCAATGTTTTAATGCCCAATTTGTGGCTTCATGTTGATACAGAACAGAAAAATATAATGCTTACCGTTTTTTGGGTTTTTTTTCCATTTCCTTCCTGGTAATGTTTGATGGTTAGGACAATTTGCTAGAAATGAACTGACGTTGCATGTAACAGCTTCATCAGAATACATTATGTCTAAAGGATTTTGTGACACTTTTATATATTGCATGCTAGCATCCATTTCCCTATGTTGTTTGAGTATTTTCCCTACTGACCCAAATATCCACGATGAGTTCATTCAGTATCGTAATGACTCACATCAGTTATAATGAAGAACCTGTGATAACCACTGTAGTGATAATGATTTTATTGAAACCTGGTTTGATAAGAATAAAAGAAAGATAATGTAATGTCCCTAATGTTTTCAGAGTAATTCTAACATGGTGTCATTTATCCATCTCTGAACACGTACACAGATACCTGTGCGTGTGTGTACACGCTAACATATGCACATGGAAGAGATGGCTTTATGTGATTCACTTTAGATCCACTGAAGAAAATTTTGTAAATTTGTAGTGGCCAGATGTTCAACAAAAGGTTTTCAAAATGTTAGCTTCTTAATCACCCAAAAGCAATGGGTTATGAACCTTGATCTTACATCATACCACTTTGGTTTTCCCCTTTTCATGTGAGGAAATCAAAAAATAGAAGGTTCAAAAAAGCAAGTGTGTGGTATCGGAGTGCTCCTTCTCAATTTAACTACTTGTCTCTGAAACCACTAAGGTGCTTCTTAATAAGCCTGCTTTTATTAAGGCTCAGTGACTTTAAAAGAAAAAAGAAAGTAGTGTTATTTCAGCTTCATTCTCCATGAAAATGGAATTTTTCCAATGTAAATTCTAGGAGATCGCAGTGTTAGGTCCCTTTATGGAATGAAAGAACCAAGGCAAATACTTACTGGTGCAGCCAACAATAGAAGAAAATACTTATTTCCCAGCCTCCTAAACACACTCAAAGACCACATTGTATTCCCTCCCTTAAAAAGAAACACTTTACTGTAATTTGCACACAAAATCCTTTCGAGGTATGTTTTAAAAAATGACTTGAGAAGATGAATTGTTGTTTAGCATTTAAGGTATAGTAGAGTTTGATGGCAGTGACATCATATTTTAAGTGCATGCAAAACCTGGTTGGTTTGGATTTATCCCCTCTGCTAGCAGTTCAGCTCTAGTGTGATCTTGCCACGTGAAGGTGCTTTTAAGAAACCCAGAGTTAATACAATGAAAGGGGCGCGTTGAGATGCATAGAACTGACTCATGAGTATGCTTGGGTTTGGGATATCTGCCTCTGACTATTTTCTTACCTAACAAATTGGATGTTTTGTAGTTTTTTTTTTCTTTAAAAAAGTTGCATGTTTTCTTTCTCGTCTTCCAAAAAATTCCGCATGTGGAATCCGGGGGTGGTGATTTTAGAGACCCGTTGTTAGAGACAGTCATGTGGAAGTTGGAAAAGATGGTTGGTGGATTATTTTTGGTTTTCTTTGTATCTGGTTCACATTCGTATGCCCAGTTACTTTGAGGCAAGTTAAAGGAAACGCTGAAAAGTGAGATCTTATCTGTAAGGCTAATAGCCTTTACGCTGTGCACACTTGCCACCTTGGCCATTTCAAATGTGGTAAATGAGGACGGAGTTCCATGTCTTGCATCTGTGTATGGCTTTATCTGATAAATATCACCCTTAACAGCTACAGGAAAAATATGAAAGTGGTTGCCTTGCAGCTGTATGCCTTTTGTGGACAGGAAGAAATGGGACCCAACATAAAAAGATTAATGCATAGTCTTAGAAAAAAAATATTACAGGGTACCTTGCTGTTTGATTACGAGCCTTGGAATTAGTCAACATTTCCATAATTCTAAACCAATATACACCTGTTTTCCCACTGTGATGTGAAGGCACAACTTAATTTAACAGAAACCCCGCTGTGCTAAATCTCTCATTAAATACCAAGCGAGTTCAGTAATTTAAAGTTGTACACTACCATTTTAACTGGTTGCCTTCATATTATGAAATTAATAAGAAATTAATGATGCACTTTGCCATATGCCTTCAATTTCTTTATGAATAAAAATAAAAGGGATAAAGAAAAATGCATCACCAGCTGACACTTTAAAGCTTTTCTGCTTGTAATCATTTTCCTGTGGATAAAATCCATTAAAAAGTCACTTGCTGCCTTTTTTTTCTAAAGTGTCCAAAACTTTCCATTTAAAGCAAGATCAAATAATGCTGGGTTTTTTTTTTTCTGTGCGGGTTTTCTTCTGCAGTTGATATTTTGTTTCATAAGGAACTTCTATCCTGCAGCCCAGCTCGAGCAGAGTTATAGGGGTTTGCTTTTGCCTTTCTGCACTGGCTTCCTCTCTTGAGGGAAACAAAGGACTTGGTTTGTTGAGAGGCAGAAACAAGCTGATAGGACTTGACTATTCAGCTGCTGTGCCTTCTCTTAGATTTTGATTGAGGGCACCCTCCTTTTCGTGTCCCGTGTGGAGTCTGGAGACCCTTTACGTGGTGGGTAGGGTCCTGGGATGGAGGTGAATGATCAGGGCCTTCCTGAGCCCTGATCATATATGTCCTCAGAGTAAGTGAGGCCACATTTCTCAAGCCTGCCTCTTCCTGTGTGACCAATAAACACACCGTGTCTTAAATCCGCTGAGCCGTTCAACATCAGCCCTAGAAATAAAGTAGTGGAAATAAAGGGAGTGGATTCAAGATCTCAACACCCAGAGCAAGCAAGGAAGGGAGGGGCTGGGCGTCCTTCCCTTGCTTGGATGACGCTTTGCTGCTCCAAAAGTGACTGCTTAACGCTTAAGCAACAGACCAAATCTTAGGGATAGCCCCTTACGATTTACTGACGTTTCACGAGATCTGTGAATCCCAAGTGATAATTTATTGAGTGCCTACTGTGTGCCCGGCACTAAGCTTAGGTATTGGCAGGAAATAGCAGAGGTCAAGCCTGATGGGCCTCTAGCTGATACTAGTGGGCTGGATGGACAGCAGACAGGTAATTAATATTTATGTGGTTTATGCTTTAGTGCTTTTCTGCTTCTGACAGGATACCAGTTACACACACACCCTGAGACCCCTAATTAGTAGTGCCTTCATAGCCTGAAGATTATACCATGGCCGTGTCTACGCAGCCTGGGCTACTCGATGAGCCACTGGGTTTGGTGCAGCATGATTAGACCAGCTCTTCCGCTGCTGGGCCACTTGTGTTTTTGGACAAATTTTGGTTGCCTCCACTTTGTGATGACGTATGAGTTTGGGCTTGGAGATGGCCCCCTTACTTTAGGGTTTCTGGAAGGCACAACCCAACTGGTAGTATGATTCAGTAGAAATGTCCTTGTCTGCCATTGTACCTTCCCAGAGAGAGATCTTTGCAAAGGCAACTTGCAAGATTCGTTTTGTTTTCTTTTGACCTAATTTAGCTCAATTAAAAAATAAAAACCTTTATGGAGGCACAGAAAAACTACCGAGATCTTTTCAGTAATCAAATGTCAGGGCCAAATATCCTTGTGCTGGTGTCAGCACAGTGCCATATGTCATTCTTTTTTTCAAGGTCTTCACACATATTGTCTCTGGCAATGAGGCTTTTTGATTGAAAATCTGCAGCGGTCTCATTAGAGCGTTCACTGTATAAATTAATTTAATTAAGGATGTAATAACAGAGAGGAATACAGTTTTGAAAAAGCTCTTAAGTTTTAGCAGCGAGGAGGAGGAATCTATGGAATCTCAATGTCTTGTAAAATATTAATTGCAAATTTCTTCCAGACATTCTCCCTGAATATGCCTCTACCCTTTTCTTTTTAGAATCACTACCGGTTTTATTAAATGCAGTTTATATTAAGGAGTTACCGCCCTCAGAGAACATTTGTTTAGAGCACTCATTTTAGCAGTGGCATACTGAAAGGTGTTTTATAAGCACGCACGCAATGTGAGCAAGGCCTACACGTAGTGTTGAGATATAAAAACAAATGAGCCTGATCCGGTAGGAAGAGGCTGTAAGTAAATGGCCTCGTGGGACAAGCGTGTTCGCCCACACGGAGTGAGTGGCCCCTTCCCGGCTTGCCCTGGCAGAAGCAATTTACCTGTGTGCGTAGGCACTTTCCTCCCAGGCAACTTTAGCTCAGCTCTCCACAGAAGTGTTCTTGAACAGCGGAATTGCTGGGGGCTGTCATTCTTTTCCGCAGAGCCACTTGACTCTCGCCGGGGCCAAATTCAGTTTGCCTATTTTAATGTATTTTCAGGTACTCATTTTCTTTGAGCTCCCTGTCCTAGTTATTCTGTACTTAAGGCCTTTGTTCTCAGGGCCATCATTATTATTATTTTAATCATCATCATCATCATCATCATCATCATCATTATTTCTTTGTCATAAAATCTCTCAGACCCCCATCTGCTCGTATCACGGGAACATCTCCCCCAAACCATCCCACTAGAATGGAAGCCGAACTGGGCCACGTTCAGTGAACTTTTTTTCGTAGATGCC